ATACCACTGACTCCCGTGACCTGTGGTGGGCAGAGTCTTCTCCTGGGATGAAGCGGTGAAACGTGTGCTTGCCACCTGATTTTCCGTTTATTACAGACCTTGGGACTCCTACTGTAGGGTGGAGATTTCTGTGGGAAAGTGTCACCCCACAGTCCTGAAGGTTTATGAGAAGGAAAGGAACCCGTGGTTATCATGGGTCTGCCGGTGACTGAGAATGGAGAATAGGCAAGTGTTAATGATAGCGTTGGTTTGTTTGTTGTCTGGGAGGCACAGTGCTCACTGTGTAGCCCAGGTTAGCCTTCAACTCCCTGTGTAGCTCAGGATTGCCTGAACCCTGCAGCCCTCAGATGCTCTGGCTTTCCAAGTGCTGGGGGTGGAGGTTTAGGATGCCATACACGGAACTGGTATCTTAGAAGACGAATTTCCTCTCGGTGCTGGGTGTGTGGCCCGGATTCTAAGTCGAACTAGAAAATAAGCCAGTTTATCCAGAAGATTAAATTAAAGGTCCCAAAGGATTGGAGTAGAGCCCAAGCCAGAGCAGATGTGATATTAAAGTCAGACCTGAAAGCAGGCGCTCCCTCAGCAAGAGACAGAAAACCGCCACGTTGTTGTCTGAGTCAGGTTAGTGAAAACGGAATAGGTTAACCGCTCAGACTGCCCGGGCTCAAACTCTGACATCATCTCCAATTTTGTGGCATTTGTGATCACTAGTTCCATGTCTCAGGAAAACGAGAAGAATTTTACAATCTTCACTGGGTTCTTGTCAGGATTGAGTTGATTTACGGAGAGCCCAACAACAGTGCTTAGCGGGCGGCAAATCTTAGTTCTTAGTGGATGTTACAATAATAGCCGTGGTATACGAGCCCACTGTTATTGCTATGGCTTTCGCTTTTCCGAAGCAAAGAACTTGGGATAATTACACGGCGTGCAGTGCTCCTCAAGGCAGGTTTTCACTACTGAGACGTTTCCTGGACCACAGTAGCTAATGAGAACTTTAGTTCTAGAACTAACAAGTCCCGGGACTCCAGCTGGACAGATCAGTGCACTCAGCACTCCCTGCTCCCTCCTGCCGCTCCCAGGAAGACTCCTGCAGGAACTCCAAAGGAACTGAAATCCGCAGACCTGAAGTCAGGTCCCATCTGCCCAGGACAGACTCTGTGGCCCGCAATAAGCCTTCCGGTTCCCTCTTAATGTGCTGTTGACAGCTGGACTAGACCAGTGGCTTTCAAGAATGCCTCAGGAAGATATAGGGAATGCAGTACGCAGAGTATGTCAAATTAAGGCTAATTCTTCAAACACAGTTTGAAGTTCAGGCTTTCTGTCTTGGAATTCCATATGCATTTGATGAACGGGAATCACTGCTAAATGAGTTTTGGCTTCGTTGGGGTAAATACCCAGGAGAGATACAGCCGGCTCATACGTTAGGTCTGCTTTAAGTTCTTTGAGAAATGTCTACACTGACTGCCATAGAAACTGAACTGGTTAACATCCCCCCGAGTAGTGTACACACCATAGCCTCCAGACCCTCACTGTATTTAGCCTCATGGACTGGTGCCACATGGAGTCACAATATAGTTTCACTTGCATTTCTCTGCCCAAGTGGTACTGAATGGTTTTTCATCCTTCCTTGGCTAGTTATATTTTTAAGAACTGTCCATCTATTTCATTACCCCATTTGTTAGCTGAGTTATTTTATTTTGGGGGGGTTGTGTGTGTGTGTGTTCTTTATATCACAGAGATCTTTGCACATCAATATTTTATTCACAGTTTGATCCATGAGGATCAAACAATGATCCTTAGTGATTCACAGTTGCTAATCTATAAAATCAACCTAGGTGTTCGTCAACAGAAGAATAGCTAAGGAAAATACCACTTATAAACATAATGGAATTCTTGCCACACATTCACTCTAAGTGAATTAAGTCAGTCTCAGAAAATAACAAATGCTTCATCTTTTTTCTTAATTTTGGGTCCCAGACTATAGAAGAATAGAACCATATATGTATAAGATGCATTAAAACAGAAGCAAAACTACCCAGTAGAACAAAGGAGACCAGTGGGGTGGGGTTGAGGAAGAGGAGGGAGAAGGGCTAGGAGGAGCCTTATATTCTTGTGTGGAAACTGCATTTGTAACCAAATTGTTTTGTTTCATTTTATTTTTTACTTTACATCCCAGCAACAGTTTAACATAATTTAAAGACAAATTATATTTTTAAAAAGAAAAAAAAACTTTAAGAATAATAGAAGTTTTACCTAGATGAACTCCAAGGTCCCTTCAGCTACTGTTCTGCTATATGTGCTGAGATGCTTGTGAAACTGTTCACAGAGCCAAACATTGAGAAATAAACCTATAGGTAAAGGCAGTGACTTCCAACTCTGGAGTTGCTGAGTAGCTACAAGAACAGAATGGAGTAACACAGCACGGTGCTTTCTCATATTTGAAATCGAGATAAGGGCAGCTTCTGAAGCAGGTCTCTCACCTCTGTGCTTTGACACATCCTGTTTATGGAGAGCACACACAACCTGATGCTAACTAACTCTGTGGGCAAGAAGAACAATTGTAACAGGAATACTGCCAGCTCACAAAACCGTTTTGTGTGTGTGTGTGTGTGTGTGTGTGTGTGAGAGAGAGAGAGAGAGAGAGAGAGAGAGAGAGAGAGAGAGAGAGAG